CTTAAAAAAAAAAAAAAAAAGACATCTAGAGTTCTACAAATTCACAACACTGCCCAGAACTTAAGGACCCTATGATCTCTTTAGAGAAGAGAGACAGGGGCGCCTGGGTGGCTCAGTTGGTTAAGCGACTGCCTTCGGCTCAGGTCATGATCCCAGGATCCTGGGATCGAGCCCCGCATCGGGGTCCCTGCTCAGCCGGAAGCCTGCTTCTTCCTCTCCCACTCCCCCTGCTTGTATTCCCTCTCATGCTGTCTCTCTCTCTCTCTCCCTGTCAATTAGATAAATAAAATCTTAAGAGAGACATATGAATAGGAATTTATTTACATGAGAAAAATGGCCAAAGATAAATCACATGTGCTAGTATCATATGTTAATGTCTAGACCCATTATTTAAGAACATACCCGAAACTAGGGTGTGTGCAAAATAGAATACCTAAAAATCATTAAATTTAAATAGTATGCCCATTCTTTCCCCTTTGCCCTTAAAATCTCTGAATTTAAGGAAATAAGGAAAAGGACTGAGCTGAAAATTCCAGGAAAGGGGATAAAGATCCTGCAGGGCCTGCACAGCCATGATGAGAACTCTGGTCTTGTTCCTGAAAGCCGTGGTGCCAGTAAGGGCCACAGTGGAGCAGGCTACTGTGCATTTAGATCAGAGCTTGACTATAATATAAATATGGAAGAGACAGATAGGGAGTCAGAAAAAACCAAACACCACAAAAGAGAAGCTAACCCTTTCACTACAGAATAGACTTCCATTCTTGCCTCCTGAATGCCCTTGGTTCCTAAGGAAAAGAACTTTAAAGTTTTCATTTTAAAATCTGGCTCTTCCACTAGACCTTTCCCTAAGAAAGTCCTCCCAATGACCGTCCCAATAGCCAGAACTGTCCGCTTCCGTGCTGACTCAGCCCCACCAACTGGACACTAATACTTCTACTTACATCATCATAATCTAAATCTTCACATAGTAATCCCATTTTCCTTGCCAGCAAGTGGTTCAAACAAAAGCCATGTGAGCCAATGCTGGCCAAGATAAGGGGAAGTCTACTTGGCGCAGTGAGTGTGGAGGGATCCTAGGGGGAAAGAGCACTGCTCTTAAAAAGAAACAGACAAGAAGCCACCTTCTTCTGTTGGACATTATTTAACTAGATGAGACATGCAGCCACAGACAGCATAGGGCCAGGAGGAGACCTAGTACAAGACAACATGCAGAGGACAGTAGGGTCTAAAGATAAATTTTCTGAGTCCTTGATAGTATCACTGAGACTACGCTTTTCCATCTTAAGCCAGCTGAGCACAGGTTTTGTATTATGCTTTTACTTCAACCAAAGCCATGTGAATCAATTCATCCATCAATCAAAAACTTTCTCATTAAACCCAATTACTCCTAATTTTAGAATGTACCTTTAAAAGTTTACCAAATAAAAAAAAATAAACAATTATAAAAAAGTTTACCAAATATTTGAAAGTTTTAACATGAGGGGGAAAATAAAGTAATACATAAGTTAATTAGGTAATGGTACAAAGTTGTCACAATGCAATCTTTTTAAGACACATAAAACAATACTGAACTATTACTTACTGGACTCTCCTGGCAGAGACACCCAAGAAGTAGCGCTGTGTATGAGGCCACAATGCAATCCTCCATGTGTTTGCCAGCATGCTGAAGGGCTGAGAATATTTAAACACAAAACTGTTACAGTGTATTACCAAAACCAAAATAACAACAAAAAAACAACCCCACCCAGAACACCAACAATTCTGTTAGTTATCTTTTCTTCAGAACTCCTTAAACATTGATAGATGGTGCTAGGAAAATGGGATATCCACACAAATGAACAAAAAATTATGCAAATGAACGAGGGACCTTAATATAAGCACAAAAACCATAAAACTACTCTTAAACAAAAATAAAGGACTAAATCTTTATGACCTCGGGTTATGAAATGGCTTCTTAGATACCACACCAAAACCAAAAGTGACAAAATTAGATAAACCGAACATCAAACAAACTTCTGTGTTTCAAAAGACACCATCAAAAAAGTGAAGAGGCAACGGAGATATGTAAATGAGCAATAAGCACGAAGCACGTGAAAACATGCTTGACACCATTTATTCAACGGGGAACTGCCAATCAAGTGACATATACCTTCACACCCACTAGGATGGCTAAAATAAAAAAGACAAATAACTATTTGTAAGGATTTGGAGAAACCAGAACCCTTTAACATGGCCAGTAGGAATGTAAAATGAAGCAGTCATTTTGGAAAAGAGTATGGTAGTTCCTTAAAATGTTAAACACTGAGTTAAATAATCCATCACTTTCACCCAAGAGAAGTGAAAATATATGTTCACATAAAAACTTGTACATGAATGCTATGTCACAGCAGCATCATTCATAAGAGCCACAGGTGGACACAACCCAAACATCCATTAACTGATAACTAGATAAAGTGTGGTACATACCTACAATGGAATATTTGGCTATAAAAAGGAATTAAGTACTAGTAACATGTTACAACAGGAATGAACCTGGAAAACATTAGGCTAAGTGAAAGAAGCCAGTCACAAAGGGCTACATATTATTCCATTTACATGAAATGTCCAAAATAAGGCAAATCCAGAGACAGAATTAGTGGTTGCCACTGGCTGGGGAGGGGAGAACAGGGAGTAATGGCTGCTAAATGGGTATGGGGTTTCTTTTGGGGGTGATGAAAATGTTCTGAAATTACACAGTGTTGATGGTTGCACAAGCTTGTGAATGTACTGAAAACTACTCAATTGTTCACTTCCAAAGGGTGAATTTTACCTTGTTATGGACTGAACTATGGCCCCACCCCCTGCATATGCTGAACTCCTAACCCCCAGTACCTCAGGGTATGTTTACACTTAGATTGGGTGTTAAATTAAAGAGGTAGTTTAAATGAGGTCACTGGGGTGGGGTCCTAATCTGTCTGCCATCCTCATAACAGGAGATTAGAACAAAGATATACATAGAGGGAAGACTATCTAAAAAGATAGGCAAAAGATGGCCACCTACAATCCAAGCTTGGAGAGACAAGCCTGAGACCAACCCTGACACGCTGATCCTCCAGAACTGTTGTTTAAGCCACTCAGTCTACAGTACTTTGTTACAGCAGTCCTCATAAGCTAACACATACCCCAATAGAGCGGTTATTAAAAAAGACTGCTAAGCAACCAAAAATACTATTCCAAAGGGAACATGAACACTTAGAAAAAGGAACAGCAATTTCTTACAATATTAGAACTAATAGCATTAGTGGAAAAGTGGGCGTAAGAGAAAGAGACTAGGCTCAGAAAAAGACATTTGCTGGGACGTGCTTCCTTCCTAGCTTCGTGAGGCTAAACATATAATTTCGTAACTTGAGTGACAAATGGCTATCCTGTAGTACTTGCATAAACAGTAATCCAATACCAGTTGCTGACAACAGATAATAAATGTAATGTCTCCTTCAGTGTATTCCTTACTGTGCTTGCAAGCTACTACATACCATTTGAGAACTACTACCGTAATGAACCATGAGAGACTATGGACTCCGGGAATCAAATTGAGGGTTTTAGAGGGGAGGGGGGTGGGGGGATTGGTTAGCCCAGTGATGGGTATTAAGGAGGGCACGTATTGCATGGAGCATTGGGTGTTATATGCAAACAATGAATCATGGAACACTACATCAAAAACTAATGATGTACTGTATGGAGACTAACAACATTAAATCAATCTTTAAAAAAAGGAACTATTACTGTAATTTATGGTAATATGATAATAGATCTCAATTTAGGGTGCCTGGGTGGCTTAGTTGGTTAAGCATCTGCCTTCAGTTCAGGTCATGATCCCAGGATCCTGGGATCGAGTCCCACCATCAGGCTCCCTGATCAGCGAGGAATCTGCTTCTCCCTCTCCCTCTGCCCAACCCAGCTCCCCCACTCATGCTCTCTCTCAAACAAATAAAATCTTAAAAAGAAAAAAAAAAAAACAGATCTCAATTTATAAAGTGAGGCTTATACAGGAATCTCAAAATTTCAAAACTGTAAAAACCTTTAGGAGTCCTACTGTTCAACCACTCTCTTTTCAGGTGAGTAATGAAAGGCCAGAGCAGGAAGGAAAGGGAGACTTTTCCGGCACTGCACATGCACCTTCCTCACTGCTAGGAAGCCAGCAAAGAACTCCTATCTATGAGCACTGAAATACTAAAGCTTGGGGGCGCCTGGGTGGCTCAGTTGTTAAGCATCTGCCTTCGGCTCAGGTCATGATCCCGGGATCCTGGGATCGAGCCCCACATCAGGATCCTTGCTTAGCAGGAAACCTGCTTCTCCCTCCCACTCCCTCTGCTTGCGTTCCCTCTTTCTCGCGGTGTCTCTGTCAAATAAATAAAATCTTAAAAAAAAAAAAAAATACTAAAGCTTGTCTGCACTGAACTCGAGAGGCCATAAAAGAATAGCAAAGGGCGCCTGAGTGGCTCAGTGGGTTAAGCGACTGCCTTTGGCTCGGGTCATGATCTCAGGGTCCTGGGATCGAGCCCTGCATCAGGCTCCCTGCTCAGCGGGAAGCCTGCTTCTCCCTTTCCCTCTGCTGCTCCCCCGTGCTTGTGTGCTTACTCTCGCTGTCAAATAAATAAGTAAAATCATTAAAAAAAAAAAAGAATAGCAAGATTATGACAACACATGAATTAAAGTTTCAGAGGGAGAAAACATTTTCAATTTGAATACATGACTTAAAATAAATGTACCTTTATTGAGGTCAAGTTCTTCATCGTCCTCCTCCTTCTTATGTTTCTCTTCTGTACCATCAGTCTTTTCAGTTGATACCCACTGTATTTCTCCACTTGTCTCTTGCCACTCTCCACTCTTATCATGCTGAGTGGTGGGAGCATCTTTGATCAATTCATCTGTTTTACTTTCTGCCAACTGGGCTGCTCGTTCTCGCTCAAGGAAAAGCTGATAAAAATTATTTTTGAAGATTATTAAAAGAACACCAAGCAACATGTATGTACCCAAATATAAGGTATGTTTGCTTTTAAAATCACTAACCCTAAGAAGCATGCTATCTGGTTAAAAGGGGTAAGTTAACAAGAAAAGCGTTTGCTCTACAACCAACTGAAGGCAAAAAGGAAAGTATAAATGCTGCTGGGATTCAATCAAGTAAACTAAATGTATCTACTAATGATACAGGCATTCTGTTTGTAAGAATGCAAATCTTAACACTTGCCCTTAAATTGGATAATGACAGGATATTTCAAGCAAAAATTACAAACTTGATGTAAAAAAAATTTTTAAAGACTGAGCAAACTAAATAAATTAAGAAAGAAAAGACACTAAATAAAACTACATAATATTGGGGAAAAGCAACATGGCCTCTTTAAAAAGAAATTTAAAGAGATAAACAAGGGATGCCTGAGTGGCTCAGTCGGTTAAGAGGCTGCCTTCGGCTTGGGTCATGATCCGAAGGTCCTGGGACTGACTCCCACATCAGGCTCCTTGCTCAGCAGGGAGCCTGCTTCTCCCTCTGCCTGCCACTCCCCCTGCTTGTGCTCTCTCTCTGACAAGTAAGTAAATAAAATCTTAAAAAAAAAAATTCTCTCTCTCCCTCTGCCCCTCTCCGCCACCCACCCTGTTGGCTGGCTCTCTCTCATAGATAGGTAGATATTAAAAAAATAAAGAGATAAAAAAAAATAAATAAATAAAAAAAATAGATAAACAAGCACCAGTAAAAATAAAAAGCAAAAGGTCTCAAGAGGACTCAGAACTGGACCTCGAGTAATATTATTAACAATGGAAGAACACAGTGACAACTAAGTCAAAAGGGAACCACTGGATTCCTTGCTTTCATGTACTTAATTTTCCTTGTGCTGGTACAGAGCTGAATGTATGGAAAGCATTTATTGACAGGATTTGGGAAAAACTCCAAGTTACTAAAAACAACTACCTGAAAATCAAATGCCAAGCAGACCTCAAAAGTTTGCTGAGCATAGCGAAGAGTGGTATATAAACTTTAATATCCTTAAGAAAATAAAATTTGAGCTTTATATAAAAGTGGTATTAAAATTTCTTAAAATTTTGGGATCCCCAAAACCCCTTTGTAGAATCTGTGAGGTCAAACTCATATTCATAATAATATTCACTTCTTTCATTCTCTCTTGAGTGTATAGTGTTTTCCAGGATCTACATACTATGTGATTATGTTACTGCTCTGATGGCTAATGGAAGGAGTGTCTTTGTTTTATAATTTTCTCAGTTTTGATTTCAAATTCAGTAAATATCAATAGATTGAACACACATAAACAAAAATTCTCTGGAGTCCCTAATAATTTTTAATAGTATAAAAGAACTCCTGAGTTCAAAGTATTTGAGAAGAGAATGATGGGGTCCTAGTTATGACTCAGGAAAAGATCAAGCTGTTGTGGGTTACTTCTTTCAAGGATTACTAGTTTCAAAAAGGCCAAAAGGATTAACAGGGTAGCAAAGGTTTCAGAAACAATAAAATGGACAGTTCATTACCAATTCTGAACATATGCAAATTGTCATTTAAGGAAAGAAATAACAAAGGTAGTTAGGAACCTATTAGATTGGGAAAAAAAGTTAAAAACTACAATGCCCACCATTATCAAGAAACAAAAACTCACATGCAGTTTTTTGGGAAAAGTGTAAACTGAGGAGAGAGACTATGTTTACTGGCTGGGATCAGGTGACATCAATTTTTATTTTCATTTTTTAAAAGATTATTTAATCTCTACACTCAATGTGGGGTTTGAGCTCGTAACTCTGAGATCAAGAGCACATGCTCCTCCAACTGAGCCAGCCAGGTACCCCACAGAGATATCAATTTTATCTTTAGTTTTTTTAAAGATTTCTATTTTATTTGTCAGAGAGAGAACGCACAAGCAGGGGGAGCAGCAGGGGGAATAGCAGGCAGAGGGAGAACCAGGCTCCCCACTGAGCAAGGAGCCCGATGTGGACTTGATCCCAGAACCCTGGGATCATGACCTGAGCTGAAGGCAGACACTCAACCAACTGAGCCACCTAGGTGTCCCTCAATTTTTATTTAAAAAAAAAAATTTTTTTTTTTTAGTGTCCAATAATTTATCAGTTTCTTGTAACATCCGACACATCAAATTTTAAATATACATACTCTGATACAATTTTTTTTTTTTTAAGATTTTATTCATGTATTTGAGAGAGAGCACGAAGTGGGGGGAGCAGAGGGAGAGGGAGAAGCAGACTCCCCACTGGGCAGGGAGCCTGATGCTGGGGTCGATCCCAAGGCTCCGGGATCATGACCTGAGCCAAAGGCAGATGCTTTACTGACTGAGCCATGCAGGCACCCCCGACACAATTCTTAAGCCAGGAAATTACTCCACAAACATACTTTGAAAAGTATTCCCTCACCCCCAAAAAGGGGAAAAGTATGGCCCAATACTTAGGAACACAAAGTACTAGACACAGATCAGACCAGGAAGTAAATGCTTGAAGGACCTGAACTGCACGGGATTGGGGATGGGACTTGATTCCCAATTTGTTACCAATAATCTTTTGATTTATCAACAAATATGCCTGTTTCTCTTTTTCACTATCAATGCCTAACGAGTGATTATTACAGTTAACTGTCAATGCAGTAAAGGACAGAAAGGTATAAATTCTAACCCAATGTACCTACTTCTCAGTGAACTGATAAGGGTGAGAGACAGACACATACACACACACAAAGGGAGGAGGGAGGTGCAACTGATGAAGAAGTTGGACAATGCAAAAAACTGAAGGTGTTAGCTTGTTTTGAAGTTGTTCCTTACCTGCACTAAAGCCTGAACGGCATGAATTTGTCCAGCTATCCTTAAACTATCATCTCCTTCTCCACTACAGAGGGAAGAATCAAAAGAACATGATGTTTCCATGTTGACAAGACAGTGCCGATTCCGAGCACTATACTCCACTAGATTTATCAGTAGACCTAAGCCCTACAAAAATTAAAACATGCTTATTACCACAGGTGGGAATTAAAAGCACATCAACACAATATACATAACTTTTGTTGGCAGCTAGAAACCTAATCAGTGTTCTACCACCCACTAAATGGTTAAAAACCAGTATGTAAGATAATGGTCTTCCCAATGATTTCACCACTTTTTAAAAATCACTACTTTTAGTTCTTTTAATTTTTGCACAGAACCCTTCATAGCTCTCTTTTGTACAATAAGGTATGTTCACAAGGAATCCAGTGAAATCCACAATGTATCAAATAGTTGGTTCCTAAACCCAAAACAAAGATGAAATTTTTTTCATCTCAATAGATCAAATACTCCTTCATGAAACAGTCACTCCAACTCACCAGCACTCGAATATCAAATCTCTGCTCCTGAGGTAGGTACTTTGGAACCTGAAGCACACAGTTCATTGCTGTGCCAATCAAGCCATCCTGTTCTCCCGTTTTGGTACTGCCCCACTCTGAAATAAGGAATGTTAACAATGTGAAAATTGTTATTGATTCTTCTATATAACACTAATAACCAATATTCATTAACATTGATATTAAAAGTTAGAAATGTATAGCTATTTCTTTATTGAAATATATTTTTGACTGTACTATTTCCAAACCAAGCTACCAGGCTGGTCCTAAAAATACTACCCCTAAAAGTAGTTACATCTATATGTGAGTAAGTGAATTACATGATGGCAATGAAAAAATCACTACATTAGAAAAGAAACAAGGGGAATTAACTTGTTTTTGCATGTAATATACAGGCTTTCAGTGAGAATACATGTAGAAAATATTACTTACCATTATCATTAGTTAAATTGAGCAATACCCCAATGATGGCCCTCATGCAGTCTTCTACTGCTTTGCCCACGTGGTTGGTTACATTCTGGTGAGGCAGAGGCTTACTGTCAGGTAAGCATATGCTGTTCTCAGCACGATTATACTGCTGAATCAATCCTTCACAATGCTGTAATGCTCTTAAGAGAAAACAAAATGTAGACTATTATGCTAAACAAAATTAATTATACTAAGAATTTCTACTTACTTGGACCTTAATATTTTAAATGTCATAAATGCTGCCAAATTAATTTCTCTTTCTACTCCAGAAGTTATAATGTATTAACTATTTAATCATATACCAAGTGTGTCTAATACCACACTAAGTGCTAAATTTTATTTTGAGAAAACTTAGTATTAATTTTTCTAAGGAAAGTTAAAATTATAAACTCAATGCAGGAGTTTACATCTATACTACTTAAAGTTGTCTCCATTTTACCAATCTCTCCAATACAACAGACCTACCACCATCCCTCCCCAAACAAGGTAAAACCTTTAAGAGCTAACACTGGGCATTTCTGAATTTCATTCAGATGTTTTTCATTTAGGTTGCAAGCTCTCAGCAGCCACAGAATATTATTTATGTTAGCAATGCATAATAAATAACCTCATATAGATGGTATTAAATACTTCATAAACATTAGAGCAAACCATATTTTTTAACATGAGGTCATTTAAGTGACATGTATCCTGGCAGCCATACAAGGGTATCCGCTGCATCCCAAAGATTCTCAAGATGCTATCCAAAATAACAAGGAAATGTAATCCTTAGGTGAGTCTAGTATTCCTGAAGCCTCTCTTTAAATCACCAGGTCCATTAATTTAAAAAAAAGTCTATGAGAGACAAAGTAAGCTGACTGTCAGTTGATTCCTCATGTACTATATACACCATACAAAACCCTTGAAGAAAACTGCACTATATCTAATCCCTCTCTAGCCTCTCCTTAAAACATACCATATGGTTAGGAAGGTGTTCCTCATGTCTAATCTAAAATAATTTGTTGTTTAGATGTTTGAAGATGTTAGCCAGAACAACCATGCTGTTATTGTTAACTGCCTTCAGTAGTGCTGAGCTAAATCATGGTTTGGGTTGGTAAATGAGGGAAGAACAGCAGGGGTGTATCATTTTAATCTTTCAATATACTCTCTCTGCTTTTATCAGACATGATAACTGAAAAGTTCAAAAAGCCAGAGGAGTGATATTTCACAAACATCCAATTCTGACCTCTACTGCCACTTCTAAAACATCTGATGGAAAATTCCTATTCACGATGAAAGAAATGAAAACTGTCATATTAAATACCTCCTTTTGGAAGACACTTGTCAGGGGTCATGAAGTATATAAGAGACATATTTATTTATTTTTTTTTTTTTAAAAGACTTTATTCATTTATTTGAGAGAGAATGAGATAGAGAGAGCATGAGAGGGGGGAGGGTC